ATATATATATATATAAATCTATCTATTATATTCTGTTCTTTAAATATATTCTCGGTTTATTGTATTGATTTTTTTAATTGTAAATAATAATGCATAAAAAATGTATAACTTTGTATTGTATTGTTTGCTACCAAAATTGTTAATTATATATAATTAATAAATATTAAAATAAAGTAAAACATGCGTGCAAAAAAAAGAGGACCGCCAATCAAAATTGGTGGGGGTGGTGGAGGGCCTTCGCAAATTCAAATTTTATTCGATATTATAAAATATTTCGATTGAACAATAACAATTTTTGTTATCGACCAATACAAATTGTGTTATCGTATTATATTACGATATATTATGTTGTATTATATTATTGTATTATGTTATGATGTTTCTTTTCTTTGTATTAAACTTTTGTATTTTTATTGAATATTATTGAATTATATTTTATATTGTAAAATTTTTTATATTGTATAAAAAATAAATTTTAACATGCATATAAAAAAAAAAAGAGGATTGCCAAGAAGTGAAATTGGAGGGGTTGATGGATTCGATTTCCTATCAACTTGGAAATCGAACTTTTATACTTTTATCCTAAATGTATTGTTAAAACATTGTTTTATTTTTATCACACGAACAAAGAGAAACTAAAACGTTTGTCAAAACATGTTATGTTGATTCGATTTAAGCCGGTATTCATTGAAGAAATTTTTATATTTAAGATTATTTTAAATATCGTTTACAAGATTTAATAATATTAGCATCTTAAAAAATCATTTAAAACAATTTTGAATAAAAACAAATTACGAATATATCGCTCTTATATATTCCGTTGGTATGGAATATAGTAAAAAATATTCGACATTTCTATACTGCACGCATTTGTTCTATTATATACTGTATTAAATATATTTTATATTTTTCGAAAAAATATTAATTTAAAATTAATTTTTGACAAATGTACCGACACGAATATATATTATATAATATTTTATTATTAGCTACTTATGTATAAGTACCGAGTATTGAATTAATTTCATAATTTCTTTTAAAATGTATAGAAAATTTTAACACATAAAATTTATTTAAAAACTTATTATTCTTTATTAAATAAAAATAGAAAGGTAAATTGATATTAAAGACTGGGAAAACGTAAGAAATAGGGATTTTCTCTACAATAATTTTTTGTAATTTTATATCTAAATGATGTCCATTACAATGTCAATTGTTATAACGGTAATACGTAATCTTTGTCTTCATAAATTACGTTCAAAAGGTTAAGTTTTATTAATATGGAGGCAACATCGGCTCAGGGATTCTTTAGGGCAGAATCAACAGAATTATTGTACACATCTTCGTAAATATTAATCTGTCAAAGCTCTTTCAAAAGAGCTGATTTTGCATTTTTAAGTTTATCCAATCTTCTTTGTAGATGGGAGTTTGCTGTCTCCAGTTCTTCTACTCGACTTTGTGTTTCTCTTACCTGAAAATAAAAATATTAAAAAAATGTGTCTGTAATTTTCTAAATCGCCTTGATATGTATATAAATCTTTGCTCTATAGAAGATCAATGTTCATACTTCTCTTTGCAATTTCCTTTTTTCTACTTTTAATTCATCTTCTGCTTTTTCCGATGCTTCTGCAGCTGATTTGTAACGAATTACTTGACTCTCTAATCTAGCTACTGTCGCTTGTAGTGTAGACATATCTTGTTCCGCTTTTTGTAATTTAAATTTATAATCAGCTAACAATTTATTTGATTCACGTTGAATATCTTCACTATCAGATAAACAACCTGCTATAACAAATATATCAATCAATATAAATAATATAATATTACAATATTCATAAAGATTTATATTGATGATTACACATATAGTAAAAGGAGATGATTAAAAAAGATCTTATTAATAGTAGTAAATATAAACCTAATATTGAGCCAGATGATTTTTCAGGTCTCAAGCGATTTCTAGTTTCCTCTAATTCCAATCTTAAATGACGAATTTCATCTTGTAATTCCTTTTTCTCAGATGCAAATTTTCTCAGTCGAATATCTGAAAAATACATGTTATAAAATTTTACTTAGTAATTAATACTGATTGTTCAACTATATTATTGCATACCTAATGAACCTTTACCAGCTGTTTCTAATAATTCTGCAGCTTCTGTACTGACTAGTACTCTCTTTCTATGACATAATCCATTTTCCATATTCTCGTTCTCCTCATCTTCACTTTCCTTATTATCAACAATGACTAAACCATTTTCCTAAATTATAATTTATTTTAGAATAACAGAAAAAAATATAGACAAATCTTGACAGGTAAGTAACAATGTATTAAAAGATTATTAGGAGCTTATAACTCTGTCAGGTCTGTCAAGTATTATCCAGATTTCTTTATTATAGTTTTAACGTATTCTCAGCTTATATATTGAATTGTTCATAATTCATTTTAAATTTACACAATAAGATGTCAATTTACATAAAGATGTATAAAACATTTTTCACAAACGATATCCTGAATTATTTTAAACAATATTCAATAATGTATTTACTTGTATAAGTGTATCTCTTTCTAGCAACTGCGCTCTGCAAATATCTAAATCTTCCTTCAATCTTTGACTAAGGCGTTTCAATTGTTCAACATCTCGATTTTTTTCCCTCAATTCTCTACGTAATTGCATAGTCGTTTCCTCTAATTCTTCCAATTTATCTTTTAATAAATCAACTTGGTAAGTATAAGATGATTTTTCATTATCTAATTGAGCATTAGCTATCATTGCCTTCCTGAATTTTTCTTCAAATTCCTTTAATTCCAACTGCACATATATAGAAAAATTATATATATTAATATTATTGAAGTTTAAATTAAAAAAAAAAGTATAAATATACCCTAATGTCTCTGCATAATCCTGCATCTTCCAACGAATCTTCTGAGGATCTACGACTCGATTGGAAATTATTGGAATTTGTAAGAAGTCGCGATGTACGCACTGGATCTGGAGTTACTCTCATAGTTCTGTTTACATCAGCTACAATCATAAATATATAT